GGGTCCCCACACATCTTCCCCTCACCCCCACGGGTTCAGGGTCCCCATACATCTTCCCCCCACGTTTCCCATGGGTTCCCACGGGTGCCAAAATCTCGCTCTGCCCCGCAGGACACCGGGAACAGGCGCGCGGCCGACAAGCTGATCTGCGACCTGGATGAGAACAAGGACGGGCGCATCAGCTTTGAGGAGTACTGGACCTTGATAGGTGGCATCGCCAGCCCCATCGCTCACATCATCCGCCAGCAGGAGCAGAGCATCAAGCTCACCAAGTAGCTGGGCTGGGCCTGGGCCCCCCCCCCCCCCCCAGACCCTGAGCTCAGCCCCCGCTGCTCCACAGCCCCTCTGCTTTGTGCCCCTCGTGCCCAGGGCACGCAGAACCCCAAACATCAGAGTAAAGAGGCACAAGGTCACCACGGAGGGCTCCTCCTGCACCATCCCTGTCCTCATCCCCCCCCTCCCCAGAGCTGGGCTGGAAGCACAGGGAAAGGCTTCCCCCTCACCTAGGACAAAAATGCTGTCCGTTCTCAGCCCACCCCAACCAGCACCCCCTGTGCCCTCGGAGCACCCTCTCCTCCTCAAAGCGTTGGAGTTTCCACGGTGTATCCCCCCAACCTCCCTCCCGTCCCCCGTCCCCCCCCTCGGGGCTGGTGAAGGTCTGCCCTGCCCACCCCTGGGGCTGGGAGCTCCCGGCTGTGGCCGCGGGTTATTTATTGCAGCAATAAAGTTTGGAGGAGCAGCGGGGTCACGGCGAGGATGGTGAATGCGGTGGGGATGGGGGCACCGAGTGGGAAGGGGAGAGGGGAGGAAGGGTCCTCCCTGTCCCCTAACGACTCTCAGCGTGTCACCACGAGGTGTCACCACTGCCCGTGTCCGTGGGGCTCAGTCGCGGTGCGTCCCGGTATGGAGTCCCCATGCCGTTCCCAAAGTGACCCCATCCCGCAGCCCCAACTCTGCGTACCCCAATGGGACCCCCGAGCTCCAGCGGGCACAGAAGTGTCCCCTGAGCTCCCACGGGGACATCCCGTGCCCCCTTCCCCCCACATCCACCAGCACAAGGGGGTGGCAGCACTTCGGGTTGGGGGAGCTCCCACCCATCCCGAATTCCGCCCGCTCCGCACCACCGCCGCGCAGCCTCCCGTTTTGCCCCGGGGATCCCGGTGGGGTTTTGAGGGGGAGGAGGGAGGTGAGGGGGGGGGGGGGGGGGGGGGGGGGGCAATCCGTGGGAGCCGCCTGCGCTGAGTCAGTGCGCAGGAATCCCGTCGGGGCGCGGTGGGACCGTGACTCACAACGCTGCTCCTGGCCAGGCGCAGCGCAGCCGCTGTGCGGGATCGGGAACCGCAACCTCCGGGTGCGGTGAATCCCACGCATCCTTCCCGCTGCAGAGGGGGCTACGGAATGCTCCCCCCCCTTCCCCCCCGGGTCCGGTGAGGGGACAGTGCCTCCCGTCCCCGTGTCCATGCGGAGGTCAGCTGTGCGCATCCTTTGGGAAGGAGGGCTCTGCAAAGTTGTGCACCCCCCGCCCATCCCCGTGGAGATCCACAGCCTACGGTCCCTGTGAGCCGCAGCTCAGTACTGCTGCCAGTCGGGGAGGGAGGGGGAACAGACCCTGCCTCTCCTTGGGACATCAGGGGAGAGCGGTATCCATCCTCCTGTGTCCGTCCATGGCACATTTGGGGTCTGTGGGACGCCCCCCCCAGCCCCGGGGATAAACACTGCCATCATAAACACAGCTCCAAATGCGTGCACCCCATGTACCCCCCCCCCCAGCCACCCAACCCTGCAGGAGGGGGGGGGGAAACACCAGCAGAGCTCAGCCACCCCCATCCCTGCACCCAGAACCAGGAAAGGCCCTGAGCGTGGGCCACCACCACTGTCACCCTCACCAGGACTCGGGCAGGAGGGTGACAAGCGTCAGCAGCCCATGGGGTGTGCACAGGGATACAGTTTCCTCACTCCCAGCACAGCTTTGGGGCTGGGAGCGGGCTCAGAGCCCTGCAAAGTGCTCCCCACCTGCCTAAAGCTCCACCTGCGCTGCTCACCTCAATCTCAGCTTACACTGCAATGACTGCTGCCATTGCCACCCATCCCTTGGCACTGGGGACACCGGAACCACCACCAGCACCCAAAGTATGGCGTCTGAGCACGGGACGGGGGCTGCTGCCTGATTTCTGCCCCATCCCCACGCTCACCCCCAGCCCCCTCCCCCTTCTCCAATTAATGGCATCACGCAGCTCAGTGAGCAAAAATGGGGCGCGGGCGAAACCCAGGGCTGGGAACAGCCGGGGGCGAGGGGCTGCACCCCCCAACTGCCCTATAAACACCAGCACACAGTGACACCGACACCCCGGCTCCTGCTGTCCCTGCTCAGCATCGACCCCGGTGAGTCCCTTTTTGCCTTCGATTTACTCCACAGCTGCAATTTGGGGAGCAGATTCCGCACCCTTTTGAGGAGCGCATCCATCTGGGTGGGATCCCCCCGCGGTCACCCTGCTGTGTCCCCACACAGGTGATGATGGCGTGTTCCTTGGAGCAGGCGTTGGCTGTGATGGTCTCTACCTTCCACAAATACTCAGGGAAGGAAGGGGACAAGTTCAAGCTGAGCAAAGCGGAGCTGAAGGAGCTGCTCACCAGGGAGCTGCCCGCTTTTGGCACCGTAAGCGCACATAGGGACACGGCACAGCCACAGCCTGGTGTGGGCAAAGCAGCCCTGGGGCCGTGCATGGAGCAGGGGGTGGGGGGCTGCGTGCTGCCCCATAGCCCACCCAAAGGAGGGACCCCATGCCAGGGGCTGGAGCAGACACAACCTGCGGGTGTTGGGATGGCAGCGGCAGAGCGATGCTCCCATTTCAGCCTCTTTTTTTCCTCCTTCTTCTGCCTATGGTTTGATTGAGGGGGGGGGTGGAACGGGCAAAACTTATGAATGAAGAACGCATGCAGCCTGCAGAGCTCCTAAATGCCACCTCCCTTGGGAGGGAAAGAAAAAAACCCCCTCCTCTCACTGTAAGAATGGAGGGAATTGGGGGCTTCCATCCATGTCTGCATGGAGACACCTCCCAGCCCCCAAACCTGCTGCCCCCATAGAAGCAGATGGATGAAGGGGAGTTACGGCGCCTGATGAACGACCTGGACCACAACAAGGACAGCGAGGTGGACTTCAAGGAGTACGCCTGCTTCCTGGCCTGCGTGGCCATGGGCTACAATGAGTTCTTCCGCGACGCCCAACGGCCCCGCAAGAAGTGAATCCCGCACAGCACTGCGCAATAAAGTCCTCACGTGTGACTCACGCCTCCGTCTGTCTGTCTGTCTGTCTCTCTCTTTGGGATTTTCCACTCTGCAGCTCCCCAGAGGCGCTTTTGGAAAAGGCTCAGAGCTGCCCCTGGGCGTAAAGCTGAGATATCCGCTCCCTCCCACTCCCAAAATGTCACTGCTGTCCTAAGGAAGGGTTTGGGGTGCAAGGAGCTCTGAACACAGAGCCACCCCAGCTCAGCACAGGGGTGGGAACCAGGCAGGAACGAGCAACATTCGTGGAAGGAACTCAACCAGACCCACACACTGTGCTCTCATGGGGGGTAGGAAACATTGCTGGGTGCCCAGAGGGACCCTCAGCCCCTGGAGCTGAGGATGAACCCACGCTGGGGGACAGGAAATGACCCCAACCCCATTTTGCTGCAGGCAGCTCCCTGTGTGCACAGCGCAGTCACTCCAGGCGGGTGAGCTGGGCTGCCCAGCACAGGGAGTCAGGGTTGGTTCATAGGGAGAGCTATAGCTGCTCCCAAATGGCCCCAAACCCACAGAGCACAACTCGGGTCTGACATGGGGCAGAGCATCCCCAGCACAGCCCTCCATAAGACCCTGAACATCCCCCAATCCTCATCAAGACCCCACATCCCATCACGTCCCCCAATCCTCATTGAGACCCCACGTCCCATCACATCCCCCAGTCCTCACAGAGACCCCACATCCCTTCATGTCCCCCAATCCTCATTGAGACCCCACATCCCATCATGCCTCCAACCCCCCCTGGAGACCCCACATCCCCTCGTGCCCCCAAGCTCTGACAGAGACCCCACATCTCATCGCATCCCCAAACCCTTCCAGAGACTCCCCATAACCCCTCCCCACACCACTCCAAACCCTCCCCCATCCTCACCAGCAGCTCCAAGCTCTGCCCTGCTCCATCCCATAAGCTTTATAAGGAGCCCCAGGTGCTTCTGACCCCTCCCAGTAATTAACACCAGGTTGCACCTGCTCCCTAATGAGCTCCAAGCCCGAGGGTCGCTTTTGCCCAAAGACATTTGGCTTTGTTCATTTGCACCCAGCGCACTCCTTGTGCTGTTGGTGGGGTTTGGTCTCCCTGGTCCCCATCCCACAGCAGCTCTGTGGTCCTCACGCTCCCGGCCACGTGCGGGGCCACGCGGGCACCAAAATAGAGCCACGTTACACAACGGGGCGTTGGGAAACAGAAATGGCTGGCAGGTGGTTTGAGTTAAAAACAGAAAAAAAGAAAGGAAATCTCCAACCCCCAACTTGGACCGACGCCGCTGGGGCTCGTGCCTCCTCTGACACTCCGACAGGCACTGCCAAATGCTTCGTCCCCCCATCAGTCTGTGCCTTCCATCCAACACCCCCCCCTCCCCCCCCCAGGGGCACTTTCTCCCCTTTTGGACCCAACCCACCCCCTGGGCTGAGCTGGGAGGAGGCTCTGGGGGCGAAGCAGGGGCTGCCCGTGGGGGTTCCTCTCCGTCTCCATCAGCCAATGCGTGGCCAACACAGCGTTGGTTCCTCCTCATCTGTCTGGGGGGGCTTGAGGGGGGTGGTGAGGCTATAAAGCAGCACATCCCAGTGCCTTGCCCTCACCCATCCTGCCCGGATCGCTGTGCTCCAGCTCTTGGTGAGTCACTTTGCCCACGGTTCTCTGGCCACCCCCCAGGTGCTGTTTACCCCCCCCCCCCCCCCCCACAAGCACCGGAGGCTGCGTTCCCCTCTGCCAGCTGCTGCCCCCCTCCCTCCCCGCTGCTTCCTTCATCATTGCTTTTTATGGGGTCGCTCGCCCGGTGCCACCTGGCCCCGCTGCTTGGGGGACTGGGAGGACGTGGTGTGACAACGCACCGGGTTCTGCCTTCAGCTGCCATCAGTGCCCCCAGACCCCCGGTGTCTCCATGTCGTGCCCCCTGGAGCAGGCGCTGGCCGTGATGGTCTCCACCTTCCACAAATACTCGGGGAAGGAGGGGGACAAGTTCAAGCTGAGCAAAGCGGAGCTGAAGGAGCTGCTCACCAGGGAGCTGCCCAGCTTCATCAGCGTGAGTGCGGTGGGGGGGACACGGGGCTGGGGGTCCTTTGGAGACCCTTGGTGCCACCTTTCCATCCCCATGCTCAGAAACGCACGGATGAAGCCGGATTCCAGAAGCTGATGAACAACCTGGACAGCAACAGGGACAGTGAGGTGGACTTCCATGAGTACGCCACGTTCCTGGCCTGCGTGGCTGTGATGTGCAACGACTTCTTCCAGGAGTACCCCGATAAAACGCCGCGCAAGAAGTGAGCAGGGGGGGTCAGCCGGGCTGCGTCACCCCTCTCTGCAATCTGAATGCTCTTCCAATAAAGATTGCTCCAAAGCCAGTCTGATGTGTGAGCTGCAAGCGGGGTTCTTGTACGGGATCAGTGTGCTATCGTGCATGGGAAGTCTCCATTTCCCCTCCACGTGCGCTTGGCAGGTGCTGGAAGGTGACTCAGAAC